CCCGCGGGCTCAGGCAATCCACTCACCTCAGCCTCCCAAAGGCACGGGATTACAGGCTGAGCCACCGAGCCCGACTAGTACACAATTTTTAATAAATAAATTCCATTTGTGGAGGGATTCCCCCTCATAATACTTAATGTCAATTCTAACACATGGAGTTTTAAATAGACATATCTTAATTATTTTAGTATTCTAATGGAATGACATATATTTGAGAATAATAGATGCCAACTTATATCTCAAGTAGATTGAATTGCTATTTTGAGACTGAAAGTAGTATTTTTTAAAAATCTGGTTAAGAAGAAGAAAATATTTTTTAAATTTTCCTCAAAGATTAAACTTTCACATTGCTGCCTTGGAGCTAGAATTCTCTGTGGTTGCTGGCACCAAAATATTTCTGTATTGTTCTAAAAGCAGCATAGGAAACAGACATGGTTACGGTAAAAGTAGCTACTATAAGTCAGGAGTCCACAACACTTCCTAACTTGCTTTCCTAGACACCTAAGCTCTTCTCTACATTACAGGGCTAAGATTGCACTCAAAAGCATTCCAGCATTTATTTATTTATTTATTTTATTTTATTTTATTTTATTTTATTTTATTTTGTTTGAGTTGGAATCTCACTCTGTTGCCTAGACTGGAGTGCAGTGGCCGCTCCCGGCCACCGCAGCCTCGACCTGCTAGGTTCTGGTGATCCTTCCGCCTCAGCCTTCCAAGTAACTGGAACTACAGGCACGCACTACCACACCCGGCTAATTTTTTGATTTATTGTAGAGATGAGGTCTCACCAAGTTGCCCACGTGGGTCTCGAACCTGCAGGCTCAGGCAATCCACTCACCTCAGCCTCCCAAGGCACGGGATTACAGGCTGAGCCACCAAGCCCAGCTTACTTTATTTTATTATAAAGATGTGGGGGTAACCAACAGTATAGAAGCATCCCCCTTTTTCCACACCTGCATCAGCATCTGTTGTTGTTTGATTTATCAATGATGACCACCCTTATTGGAGTTGGGTGGTATCTCAGTGTGGTTTTGATTTGTATTTCTCTGAAGATTAGTGAGGCTGAGTATTTTTTCACATATCTGCTGTCTGAGAATCAGTCCAATATTTGTTGTACCACACCACAATGGTAGAAAATTTCAGAAAATACCCTGACTAAAGCTTTAAATAATCTTTTGTAACGAAGAAAATAATTAAAAAAGTAGAAATTGTTTCATTGGTAAAGATGCTCGATGAATAGAGAGAGATTTAGTAACTGAAGTACTTATTCAGTTTTGGGTTACAAATTAACTATATCTCAGTCTCCCCAGGATTATGAATTAGAATAAGCTGTGACAAATAACTTTTTAGTGATAAAAACCTAACATCTTGTTTTTATTTACACTTAGTCAAAATAGAAATAATATCAATATTTTAAAGTCATACTGCCGTGACAAGGTGACCATTTAACCTCTTCACATTAACAATACATACTTCAAAACTAAACTTGCATAGTATCATTTGTATCAAATTATTAGTGAATAGTGTTTTTAAGTATTTAAAATTCTTAAATTGCCAGTGAAAAAATGATAACATACACGGCATATTACTTTTTGAAAGCATTGCAAATTAAAATAGCTGATTTGTTTTCTAAGCAGATTTTCTTAATGAAATGTAACAATATCATAAGTGATATTAATTTTGAAATAAGTTGATGATATTAGCTTATATTTTTAGTTTCTGTCATATATTTGTTTTATTATAATTGAGAGTTTGTTCTGTGCTTTTTCTGTAGTTTTGGAGAATATATGATATTTATCTTTTATTCTTTTATCATGGTAAATTAAATTGATTGACATTTGAATGTTAACTTTGAATGTCTGCTATAAACCCCACTTTGTCATGTTGTATTATCTCTTTAATGTTGCTTATTTGAACTTAATAATATTTTGTTAAGAATATTTGAATCTATAGTAATGAGAAATATTTGTGAAATGACTTTGTTGTTTCTGTTTAGAATGTCATCTAGTTTTACTATTGGGGTAATTCAAGCCTCTTAAAAAGAATTGGAAAATATTCCTCCCTCTATTTTTTAAAAGAGTTTGCATAAGATTCATATTATTATTTTCTTAATTGTCTCATAGAATTCACCAGAGAAATAATCTGAGATTCAAACTTTATTTGTAAGAATGTTTTAAACAATTACTTCACTGTAATAGCTGTAAGTCTATTAATGCATTTTTATTTCTTCTTGAGTTTATTTTGGTATTTTCTATATTTCAAGAAATTTCTCATGCCATCACAGTTGTAAAATTTACTGATGCAAGTTATTTTTAATTGTGCATTGTTTTTAATTTTTATAAAATATGCAATAATGTGCATTCTTTTACTTGTGATATTGATCATGTGTGTCTTCTCCCCTTTTCTTTAATCAGCAAAGCTAGAGCTTATCAATTTTTTCAAAAAAGTACCTTTTCACTTTATATATTTTTTATTCCATTGATTTATGCCTTTATCTTTATTATTTCCTTTCTTCTACTAATTTTGGATTTCATTCTATTTAATTTTTCCAGTTTTTTTGATGGAAAGAGATAATTCAAGATCTTTTTTTTAATCTTTTTTATTTTCTAGTGAAAGGATTGAGGGTTATTTTTTTCTAATCACTGCCACTGTAGTGTCTTCATACATTTTATTTTAATTTTATTTTTTTCATGTTTACACTTTGTTCAGGTCATTGTAGTGGACAAGTTCCCAGCTAAATGCACAGATACAAGTGAGGTATTCCTGGGTTAATGCAGGAGCCAGTGGGTTACAGGGGACTAAGCACTGAAGTCAAGGAAAGAGCACCAAGGTTTCAGTGTCAGATGGGGTCAGAGACCATGAGCTGAGGACAGGCTCCTATCCTGACACTGACAACTGCTTTCTCCTTACAGCTGACCACACTGCAAGGGACATCTTCAACATTAAATCATTTTAGTTATGTTAGGGGACTAGAAGTTAATGAAATGGAACCTGTATCCTGGAGGATCTCAGATGGTGTTGCTTTATAAGTCTTAAAAGCATGTGAACAAGAACTTAAGGACATTCTAGTGACAATGGACCACCAAACAATAAAGTCTGTTTCTCCCTGAATGTCTGCTTGTCTGTTTTAATCCATAACTGAACCCCTGTCTTTAAACCACATACCTTGAAGTTAAGCATCTCATGTACACAATAAAAATCTCTCAGGTGACACTATTTTCCAAAGCAGCATCTTGTGCAGTTGAAGAAAGCAAATATCTCTGGTTAGCTATTCTCTGTGAAGAGTCATTGATCCCTCACCAATTCCTATTGCAAGCATAATTTAGAAAACTGATTTAGAAAATAGAATATGAATAAAAATACGAGACAAAATCTAAGAAGCTTGTTTATTTTTCTATCTGGACCAGATGATGATCAAATTCACAGATGTTATTACTTGAAGGCTACAAAATTGTTGCTCACATAATTCTATAAGCTGGAGTCCACAGCTGATCATTTGAAAACTTCTGGGTAAAACTCTGTGTGTACAGGTATGAGACAGAGTCTAGCTCAGATCTTCTCAAACCCATGTAAAAAAATTGCTGAATTGGAAGGGGAGTCATACCACAGACAGCATTTCAAAGATAAGAAATGCTGGTCAAGACGGAGAGGGTTCACCTTGAGTTCCATTTGGCACTTTTCTGAGCTATCTGTCAGGAATAGATTTAAGGACATTTTATCAGTATTTAACTTTTTGGCAAAATAGAAACTTTGGTGATAGCCATGGTTCCATAAATACTTTTTAAAGGGGGTTATTATTTCTGATTAAAACCGTATTTTTAGCAAGTGATACATAACAATACCAAAAAAGTAAACATCTGCATATCTCATGTAAGAGCAAAGACTCTTTCCCAGCATCTTATTTTAAATACAGCAAGTCAGTAGTGCTTACAAAAAGTAGGGGGTTCTCTTATAGGGAATCAGAAAAGTATTAAAATAAGGCATAGTCTTACTGTCACAGAGTTGTGCTAGAAAATAGTGTTCTTTCTGGAAGGCACAGGTTGGAAATTTGATTACCCAAAAGTTTCAAATGTGTTTCTGAAGATAATACCATATGACAAGGATAACTACCTTGCTACCTTGGAACAAACTCAATTAACTGGGAACAATGGCAATAAATTAATAACAGTACACCTGGATTATAGCACTCTGGAACGTAAGTCCTCTTCATCAGCCCATATGTAAATCTGTAAAGGCACTGTGCAAAACACAGCCAGGCTAACCATACTTCTAATTTGGAGTGCATATTAAAAAACAAAGGTACATCTAGAAACTGAACTTTACATTAACTAACAAAAAAACAATCACTTTAGATATAACAGCAGGTAAGCTTGATAATATAGTGGGTTCTAAGTTAAAAGTCTTGAAGAGGTTTCTTGAACAGTAGGCTTGAGTTTCACTGGTTCTTCATGAAGGGGCAATCCACACAATGATGACAATGATGATGATGACCAGAACCATAATCCCTATTGCCCACATCTTGCAATTCTTCCACCAGTATTTTCTCTTCAATTCGGCAGTACTTGTTTCAAATTGGGAAGCTCCTGCCTGCAGCGAGTCAGCATGGTCATCCAACTCAGAGAGCTTATGGTCTTTTTCTAACACTTTATCCACGTTAACTCTCATTATGTCCACCACTGCATCTACTTGATTCTGTGTCTGTTGAAGTCTTCAATTACTGCCAGGTGCACCTGTTGACATTCAGGTGGCAAGAGCGGGCGAAGGTCGCAGAACTGTGCAGCGGGGACCGGAAGCCAGGGAGACGGGCCTTCATACATTTTAATACGTCATGTTTATATTTCTATTCAGTTTAAGTTTTTAAAACAATTTCCCTTGCAATTTACTCTTTCACGCTTGTGATTTTTAAAAGTGCAAATATTTAATTTTCAATTTTCTGACAATTATTTGTTTCTGACTTGACTGCATTGTAGTAACAGTGCTGTGTATAATTTTAATTCTTCTCAAACATTGTGTCATGTTTTATCATTCAGCATACAATCAATCTTAGTGAATATTTCCTAAGCATTGTAAGAGAGCATGCACTTTACTTGAATAAGAAGTACAAAACACTGCTCAGAGAAATAAGGGATGACACATGTGAATGGAAAAACATTCCATGTTCATGAATTGGAAGAATCAATATTGTCAAGGTATCCATTCTACCCAATCTACAGATTAAACACAATTCCTATCAAATTTCCAGCATCATTTTTCACAGACTTAGAAAAGACAATACATAAACTTATATATAAGCAAAAAAGGAGACCAAATAGTTGAAGCAATGCTCAGAGAAAGGAACAAAGCTGGAGGCATCACACTTCCAGACTTTAAACTTCACAAGTTTAGAGTAAACAAAATAGCATGATACTGGTACAAAAATGGACACATAGTCCAATGGAATAAAAGAGAAAATCCAGAAATAAAACCATGTACCTTCAACCAATTCATCTTTGACAAAGTCAACAAAAACAAACATTGGGAAAAGGAAACTATTGAGCAAATGGTGCTGGAAAGACTGAATAAAAGCATGCCGAAGAACAAAACTTGACCTCACCTATCACTATATATAAAAATTAATGCAAAATGGATCAAGGATTTAAATGTGAAACCTCAAACTGTAAGAATCTTAGGACAAAACTTAGGGAAACAACCTCCTGGACAACAAAGTAGGAGAATAATTGATGACTGTGTTCTCAAAGATAAATGCAACAAAAGTTAAGTTTGATAGGTAGGACCTTATAAAACTGAAAGTTTTTGCAGAGCAAAAGAAACCATCAAGAGAATAAAGACACAATCCACAGAATGGGAAAAAATATTTGCAAACTATGCATCTGACAAAGGCCTAACATTCAAGATCTACAAGGAACTCAGATGAATTTGCAGAAAAAAAAATTCACAACCTTATTACAAAGGGGGCAAAGGATATGAATGAACAATTTTCACAAGAAGACATTCAAGCAGCCAACAAACATTTGCAAAAATGCTCATCAGAGAAATGCAAATCAAAGCTACAGTGAAATACCACCTAACATTGTTAGTTATGGCCATAATTAAAAAGCTGAAAAACAACAGGTGCTGGTGTGGCTATGGAGAAAAGGGAACACGTGCACCCTGTTGGTGGGAATGTAAGTTAGTTCAACTTTTGTGAAAAGCATCTGGTATTTTCGCAATGAATTAAAAATTGAGCTACCATAGGATCCAGCAATCTCACTTCTGGAAATATACTCAGAGGATCATAAATCGCTCTACCAAAAAGTCACCTGCACACGTATGTTTATTGCAGCATTATTCACAACAGCAAAAAAGTGAAACAAACCCAGATGCCCATCAAAAATGGATAGGATAAAGAAAATGTGGTACATATACATGAAGGAACATTACATAACCATAAATAAGAACAAAATCGTGTCCTTTGCAGCAACATGGATGCAGCTGGAGACTATCATTCTAAGTGAACTTTTTCAGAAATGAAAAACTGAATACCGCATGTTCTTATTCATAAGTGGGCCCTGATCACCGGTCACAGGAACGACAAAAGTGGGAACAATGGCACTAGACACTGCTAAAGGAGTTGGGGAAGGAAGGGGGAGGGACACAACCACACACTGGGTACCAGGTCCACTATCGAGGAAGAGAGGGCTGGTTAAAAGCCTAAATCTCTCCCTCACACAATTTAATTATGTAGTAAATCTTTGCATGTACCCCACAAAATAAAATAAAATTTAAAAATAAATAAAGGCAACCAACAATAAAAATTTTTAAAAAGAATATATGCACTCTACTTTCTAATATTTGAAAAGACGTCCAGGTAAATGTCAACTAGGCAATCTTGGTTGGTAACTTTGTTCAATATTTTTGTGTTCTTACTGATGTTTCTGTCTACTTGTCTCTATCCATTACTGAGAGAATAGTGTTAAAATATTTCCAAATATAACAATGTATCTGTCTCTCTTTTCAATTTTCTCAGGCTTTTTTTCAGGTATTTTGAATTTGTACATTATGTAGACATATTAAAATTATAATAATTTCTTGATTAATTGACCCTTTCATTTTATAAAATGTTTTTGTCTGCTACTTAGTCCTTATTCTGAGGTATGCTTTCTGAAATTTATATCACCATTAAGTTTTATTGTTTTCTATCTTTTTAAATTTTAACCAATTTGTATCTTTGTTTTTAAAATTAGTTTCTTTCTTTTTTATTTTTTATTTTTTGAGTTGGAGTGTCACTTTGTCGCCCAGACTGGAGTGCAGAGGCTGCTCCCGGCCACTGTAGCCTCGACCTGCTGGCCTCCGGCGATCCTTCCGCCTCAGCCTTCCAAGTAGCTGGAACTACAGGCGCGCACTACCACGCCCGCTAGTTTTTGATTTATTGTGGAGATGAGGTCTCGCCAAGTTGCCCAGGCGGGTCTCGAACCCGCGGGCTCAGGCAATCCACTCACCTCAGCCTCCCAAAGGCGTGGGATTACAGTCTGAGCCACCGAGTCTTACTGTTTTACAATAGTCTTGTTAGTCTGACTTTTTATGGGTGTGTTGATACCATTTACATTTAATATATTTATTAATATGGTTTGCTTTATGTTTGTCATTTATTTATTTGTGTTATATTAATCTCAACTGTTCTTTCTGTATTTTCCCCTCTTTTTCTGCCTTCTTTTTAATTAATTGAGTTGTTATTAGTTTTTCATTGTATCACTGTTATTTACCTTGTATTTGTTTTTTAATGGTCATTCTTGCACTTATAATATGCCTCTTTAACATAGCTTTCAATTTATATCTTATACTTTATGTGTAATGTCTGATTCTTTAACAGTTTATGTCTGTTTTCCCTCTTCTGTCATGCTATTATTGTCATACAGTTCACTATCATATATTCTAACCTGAACCTTAAATTGTGAATGTTTTTTGCTTTGAGTAAATTAAAAAAAAAAAAAAAACTAGTTAAAATTGGTTGAAGAGAAAAAAAGTCTATTTTATATTATCCCACATATTTATCCTTTTCAGCACTCTTCATTTTTTAGCACATATCCAGGTTTCTATCTGATGCCATTTCCCATTTGTCTGAACAACTTTTTTTTTTAAGAATTTGTCTGCTTAAAAAAGACAAAGGTCCGCTGGTGATGAATTTACTCCATACTCAATTTCGTAATACTTCTAAGGTGTAGCACTTATAAGAACCCTAGTGAGAGACACCATGTATACAGAAATGTCCCTTTATGTTTGATATTGAAAACTTAAACTGTTCTCAGTCCTGTATATTTTTCAGAATTGTTTATCTTACAATTGCATGGTAATCATCTTTAATTCTTTTTTGTTGTTATTGTTTGACCTTATAGGATTTTATCTACACATGCATAGTTGGCATATGCAAACACTCAAAGGGACATCTCTGCAGATTTCTAAAAGATCTCTTTTCCTATATCTATTTTTCAAGGTATTCTGCACCTTAATTTCTAGGCATCTTAATCTCTTCAAACTCTGCTCTTTGTTTAGCTAATAAAGATCATGGGACATATTTTGATTCTTTCTTTATGTTTTGCAATCAAAAACTTATTCCCAGCACTATTTCTGATGAGACATCTATTGTCTCTTTGAATACCATAATATTTTTATTGTATAAAGTGACTGCATACATGTGGTTCTACTCCAAGACTCTATCTCATTGTTATATTTGTCACAATCTGTGGCACAGTCTTCAATATGGTAGCTTTATATTAAGTCTCAAAATGTTGCAGTGTAATCATTCAACTTTGTTTCTTTTTTTAATCATGCCACAGGTATTCCAAGTCCGTTGCATTTCTACATGGAATTTAAGTTCAGATTGTTAATTTCCTCAAAAAATCTGAGAATTTGCTTTTTAACTTTCTGTATTTTACGTTTAACAAAGTAGAATTTGCAGGCAGTGAGATGCACAGATATTAAATCAATACAGTCATCTATTGGTATCTACGGGGGAATTGGTTCCAGGACCCCACACCTCCCATAGATAATAAAAGAATTCATGGTTGCTCAAGTACCTCATATAAAATGATGTAGTATTTGCACACAACCTACACACATTCTTCTGTATATTTTAAACTATCTCTAGATTACTTGTATGAAATACTATGTAAATAATTGTTATATTGTATTACAAAAATTCATATCATTTCTTATTGTTCTTTTATTGTTTTTTTCCAAATATTTTTGATGTGCAATTGATTGAATCCACAAATGCGGAATTCACACATACAAAGGGCTGATTGTATGAAATTTATTTGTTTTGACAAACAAATACATCTATGTCACCTATACTCTTATGAAGATAAACAGAATTTTCATACTCCCAGAAAATTTTTTTTATGCCTTCCCAGGGAATCTCTGCCTGAAGCTACCACTTATTTGGTTTCCATCAATACAGAGTAGCATTTATTTTAAAACTTTAAAAATTGACTCATACAATATGCCCGCTTTGTGTCTAGCTTCTTTACTCAGAGTAATGTTTCTGAGATTCATACGTATTTTCGTCTAGTAGCTTATTTTTGTTGCTAAGCAGCATTCTATTATATAAATAAAGGACACTTCTTTTATTCATTCTACTTTTTTGTTTTATTGAGGTATAACTGACATAACAATTTTGATATATGTATACACTGTGAAATAACTGTAATCATGCTAATTAGCATATCCATTGTATCACATATTTATTTTATTCTGGTAGAATA